CTCTTTGATTTCTTATTCATTTGGTAAGTAATAGAGTGAACCTTGACAACGAGCTCTGTAAAATCACATTTTCTAAATTTTCAGTAAAATCTTTTCTTACGAGACCTTTGAGTGATCATTTAAGTGATCTAATCGCTCATTCACAACACCATGGCTCCACCAGCCAGAGGTCAGCCCTGCCGATTTGGACCGGTGGATGTCAATACACCGATTTAAACCACCTGTTGCGTCCATGCTGTGTGCAATTAAAGCAACTGGAGAAATTCCTGCCCTTTCTGAGCACTGTCTGCAGCCATCGCATCAGTCTGTCAGACACGGTTTGCCTCTGTGAACACAGAGACACCAAGCAGACGCCCACCAGCTGTCGCAGGCACACAGCTGCCTGCCTGAGTCCGGCGGGCTGCATTTAACTAGGTGCGTGGGAAGTTACTAACTGCAGCAATCAGCAAAAGTGCAGCAGGCCTTTCATATATTGATACTGGTTTAAAATCTGTAGTAAGTCATCACTGTAACTTGGTGATCTCCCTAAATCGGTAACTACCCCTCCTGAATCTGTGAGAACAAGGGATGCCTCCCCTGTCTACACTGGTAACAAAGGTATTTTACAGCAATGCTGATCGATGAACATAGTAATAAAACCTGTAGTCCCTTTACCATCCTCTTGCCCAAGCCATTTATACTGGCAGCCAGTTACATGTTCAGCCAGTCCTGTCCCCAAGAGAAAGCTACGGTAGAAAGAAGCTGAGGGAAGGGATCGTCCTAAATAACTCCCCATTGTTTCATCCCTTGAAGGGACAGTAGAAGAGGAACGAGGTGAAACTCAGGGTGCACCATCAAACCCACTGGTGCCAGGAGGCCCCAGCCTTCTCCTGCCCTGTAGCAGCTTCCCCTAGGTGAAACCCCAGCAATATGCCCAGCTCAAGTCAGCACTGCAGAGCTTTATTTATTTCAGTTTTAGGTGCTTAGCTTTTTGCCTTCACCTGAACACAGCAATCGGAGCAAGAAATGCTCACTTTCATACTCAGCATAAAGCCCATCCTGTACTTTATATCCCTTTTTCTTCCCCCGATCACTTCTTGGTACGGACAAGAAATCGGAGTCAGCAAAGGGATTAAACCCAAATGGAGGAGCTACAGGTTGCAACAAATCTGACACCCTCCTTTGCCCTCTTTTTCCTCCTCCCTGCCAAGGCTTTTTCTCATCATGTTGCACACCCAGCCTTCCTGGAGGCACACAGGTAGTGGTCATCTGCCACAGCAATGGGCTCAGACTCCTGGGGGCACAGTCATGCTACATATAAACAACAAAACTTCTAGGTGCTATAATCATGTTAGTGACAATGAGTAAGATGTTCTGCAAAAAACACCAGAGGAAGCTGCTAGAGTATGCTGAAGGTGGTTATAAACTATCCTTCTGAGGTTAGTTTCGTGACAGTTGATTAAAATACCAATCAAACAGTTACTGAAATCTTCATTGCAATTTCCTTTGCCTTCTGAAGTGATCTTATTCATATTAAAATAGCCATATTATTAGGAAGTATTGTGAGGGCAGAACTCAAACCTTCCTTTCTAGCACACACTCCCCAGTCACTGGGGCTCTGTCAGCATTTTGATTAGCTTGTGTCAAGAAATGATGCACCCCTGGCTAAGAGTTAGTTATTAAACAGAGCTACTAAAAAATTGGGATCTCTCTCTTTAAATGTTTGACCCTGAGGCAGAACAGGAGGGGAGGGAGAAGGAGAGAAAATATGATAATCCCTTTAGATAACAACCTGACTCATGGTAATATCAGCGTAATTGCTATCCAAGTGCATTTAGCATGAAACAGCCACACCCAGAGAGGTGCCTGTGCAGAGGGAAATTAGTTTTAAATGGAGGAAGGACAGAGATATAAGTGAACTTTCAGCTGAGCACAGTGGAAAGTAAGAAATAGTTGTTTGTTTACGTAGAAACTGCCTTACATCCAAGAGCTACTTGCTACTGCTTCAGATAATGGGATGTGGCTGGTATGTAATTCATGTGAGAAGCAGGTACACTACAGGGCTCTAAATGAAATGGGGATTTATATTTAGGCAGGGAGAAGAAAATAACACATATGTGGGGAGGAAGTAGTTGATGCTGTCTTTCTGCAATAAATCAGCAGAATAAATCAGCTTCTGCAACGATTATGACCCTACCATGAATAAAATTCACAAATATCAGTCTCACAATACAAAATAAGACCTTTGCTCAAAAGTAGGTGTGATTATATTAAGCAATTTGCTTGTAAGAAAGCTGCATGAGAATGGAATGATTTGTAGTTGATTGACTAATCAGATATAGGTATCAAATATGCCCTCTATATGCACCAGCCAGGCTTTTGTACATTTGAGACTGGTCTTTCTTCTCCACAGCTCTGCAGAGCGTTGCTGTAACAGCACCATCCTCCAAGTGCTGACCCCTAGCCCTGGCTGCAGCCCTCGAACACGGCAGCTATGGTGTGAGACCCGTGAAAAGGAGGTTTCCCCGTGGGCATGGGTAGACCTCTTGGCCCCCGCATGGGCAGACCTCTGTGCCCTGCATGGGCAATCCTCTGGGTCCCTGCATGGGCAGACCTCTGGGCCCCTGTTCTCCAGCTGCCCAGGCCATTTCCTGCACCAGTTCCAAGAAGCGAGGCCGTGGCAAGCGGCTGCCCCCTGCGGCTCTCGGCCACAGCCCTGCCTGCCAGCTGGGGGGGAAATCAAGATCGGGGTTTCTGAGCAACAGATGATAAAATGCTGATTTATTCGCACAGTGCACGGTCTGTGGAATGGGTAGAGTTGAGGGTAAGGATCAATCACGTTCTCTGGTGAAGCTGCCAGAACTTTCAGCAAGAGTATTGATTTATGCATTCAACTCTGCAAGTCACTTTCTACTACATCTTTTGCTACTAAAATTCAGTGATGTGAATGTCAATAGGCATGCACAAAACCCCCCATGTTTTGAAAAGCCTGAATCTGTTTATGTAGGACATAAAAATTTCTATATTTGAACAATTTTGCTGTCCTCTTCAAGCCATTTTCATAGATTCTAGTGTATCTTTTTATTCTGGGAGTGTTTCAAAAGATTCGAGAGATCTATTGGTAATGGATTTTGCATGCAGAACACATGTGTGCCTATACATTACCACTAATGTTATTTTCTCTTAAAAATAGCATTTTCTCCTATTTGCAAATTTCATTTGATCACATTTTAGAAATATTATACACTAGGAATTATCCGTCTTGAATGAATAATAGTATTTGTGTAGGCTGCTATGACAACACACGTACAGTCTCTGGATTCAAATATCAAAGGTTCTTAATTGTTTTTTGGATACTCCTTCATTGCACAACCAGGGAAATATAGTCAGCTATCCCAGTAATCTCTGGAAAGACAGCAACAGTAGAATAAACTGACATGTTTACCACTTTGCTTTTGTTTTTGAAATACTCATTAAGAGGAGAGGAGAGGAGAGGAGAGGAGAGGAGAGGACAGGAGTGGCGAGGAGAGGGGAAAGGAAAGGAAAAGAAAAAGGAAAAGAAAAAGGACAACAAAC